CGTCATCAAGTTTGATTACCGCATTGCAGCCGTGCAGTATTTTATTTTAAAGAACATCTAGATTTGTGTTACTTTCCTTTTTTGAATACTTTCAAGAATATTACAAAAACAAACGAACAAGTTCTCGAACAACTAGGAAAACAATACAAAGTTTTAAATTCCATAAAGATCAGGAAATTGGAATACTTGGGGCACATCATGAGAGGTGAAAAGTACGAACTACTAAGGAATATAATGCACGGTAAAATCAAAGGTAGAAGAAGCGTAGGAAGACGTAAAATCTCGTAGCTACGCAATCTCCGTGAGTGGTTTGGATGCAGTTCAATTGAACTATTCAGGCGAGTAACCAATAAAATTATAATTGCCAGAATGATTTCCAATCTCCGATAGGAGTGGAACTTGAAGAAGAAGAAGAATATTACAGAAAATTTCTCTAGGATAAAACTCTATTCTTCCATCTGTTCCTTATATTCTACAGTTTATAAAGAGCAACTTTAAACTGAACCCTCTGTTATTTATTTAAGAAATGATTGCAATGACATTAAATGACGCACTGTCCCTTCTAAAAATTTTATTAACCTACAATCTAAATTATACGTTGAAGATTAAAAGTTATTAGAAATTGTGGTAACAACTCCCATGACAACATCAATCAGGGGCCGAACGACATTTTTCAATACTAAATCGACAAAACATTTCTCAGAACTGCATTGGCCGAAGATCCTTTAACAGCTCTATCCGTGCTATTTATTAAAAAAATATATGTGATTCGACTACGACTTTACCCTACGCATTGAAAAGAAGCAAATTTTATCATGCTCTGCAAACAGGGGAAAATGGAAATAGTTCCACAAAACTACCGACTAATTAGCTTGTTATCGACCATCAACCAAATGGTAGGAAACTTCATACTATCAAGACTGAAAGACTAGAAATACTACCAGATGCACAGTTTGGTTTCATAACCTCCCACTCCTACAAACTTGAGGTGCTGTGACTAACCAAATACATCATCCATGGCTTCAACAACAACCAGTAGACCGGCTTAATATTCCTGGATGTCAACAAAGCCTTTGACAAAGTGTATCACCAAAGTTTTATCTACAGTATAAACAATATATGGGACTAATGTAGTGTACTGAAAGGCCTACTCCCTTCGTACCTAGCTAATAAAAAATTTAGGTTTGGATAAGGATAATCGTTGTCTAAAATTAGTATATCAGATTCAGAAGTACCACAAAGAGTGGTCTTACCACCCTTGATTTATACCATATATCCTGAGATATTTCAACAACAGCAGAGACACACCTCACGTCTCTACGTAGATGAAACAACCATAGCGTTGGCGAAACAAGAAGTTGGAATTTTATCTATATTTCAATTTAATTCAATATACTAAAATAAGTTCCCCTTGTAAAACTTCGGTTTAAGCGGAAGCTTTGATGTGGAAAGGACTTGATAATACGGAAAAAATGTCACATAGCTCAATCATTTGGATAATCGTGTTACTTAGGATGACTGAATTTTTCCTTCTTCTTTTTGTGGTGCCTATCTCTGTGGATGTTGGTAATTACGTTGGTCCATACAACTTTGTTGACAGCTGCTCTTAATAGATGTATGGTAGTCATGGCTGCCCACTGTCTGATGTTATTCAACCACGATGTCCTTCTGCGCCCTTGAGATCTTTTGCCTTCTATCTTGCCTTGTAAAATTATTTGAATTAGATGATATTCATTGCGCATCACATGCCCTAAGTATGTCTCTCATCTTTCTGATTTTCACGATGCGCGTAATTTGCAGATCTATATTCATACATGAGCCATTATGTTTTTCAATATAAGGTTGAATGTTCGAATAATTGAACTTTGATGGTATACAAGGCAAATATCGAACACAGTAATTAATTAAATCTTGCCCAAGTACTTTCGATCAACAGATCATCCTCAGGGGCATCTGAAATAAGCCAAGAAACGTTTTTTATAAAAAAGGAAAATTAATTCACTTTGATAAAAAAGTTTATGGTTGAAAAAAGTTTTTATGTGATAAACGTTTATAGACTTACTTCGTCAGTTGTGGCCTATCCGACATGAGCAGAATGTCATACATGTACATTTGGACATAACAATACAATACACAAAGACAAACAAACACTTTAAAATTTTTAAAAATGGAGAAGCTACATGTTATATAGAAGCCGTAGACAGAATGGCTCCCGGTCTGGCGGAAATATTGAGATGACATGTGACAAATGACAGCTTGTAAAGGGCAGTTACAATAGATATGTGATCTGCACCTTTCAAAATTCTATGAAACTAAGTATTGACCAAAGGTCCAACTGACACCACTATAGGAAATCAACTGATAAAATATAAAATTATATAGTATATTTTTTTATGTAGATTGAGTAATCCAAATCTCACACTCAAACCTGTCTATAATAATTAGGATGTTAGTTTGAGAGCAACTGAAGTTGACATAAAGTATGAATATAAGAAAAAGACTAAACAATATATTAGACAGTGGATGGTTGACTACAATAAAATGGTCCACCAAGCGCTATCAGTACTGTAAAAAAGGAAAAATCTGAATATGCAGTTAAATTACTAAAAGTTAAAATCAAAATGGAAAGCAAAATATATAAATGGGTTATAATCCAAGTAGTTCAGTTGAATCCACAGTCAATGGAAGAACTTGAAAATTAATATTGAAATTAATTTGAAATTAATTTGAGTATTAAGACAGTGAGAGTTTTCATTTGTTTCCCTTGTAATCTCCAAATCTTCAAATAAATCCAACTCAAGATAGTTTTTCTTTCTACTAATGTCATGTAAGATATATGAACCAGAATTGATGTTAAAATTGTGGTTGCTGGATACTAAGTGTTGACCAAAACTTGAAGAGTTTGGTCTTTTCAAATGTTCAGAGACTCTAGTGGATAAGTTTTTGATGGTTCTACCTACATAAGAGGCATCACAATCATCACATTTTAATTTGTAAATACCACTTTTATCAAGTGTATTCATCCTATCTTTGGTATTGATTAAGAAGGAGATTTGGATTATTCAATCTACATAAAAAATATACTATATAATTTTATATTTCATCAGTTGATTTCCTATAGTGGTGTCAGTTGGACCTTTGGTCAATACTTAGTTTCATAGAATTTTGAAAGGTGCAGATCACATATCTCTTGTAACTGCCCTTTACAAGCTGTCATTTGTCACATGTCATCTCAATATTTCTTCGGCTTCTATATAACATGTAGCTTCTCCATTTTTAAAAATTTTAAAGTGTTTGTTTGTCTTTGTGTATTGTATTGTTATGTCCAAATTTACATGTATGACATTCTGCTCACGTCGGATAGGCCACAACTGACGAAGTAAGTCTATAAACGTTTATCACATAAAAACTTTTTTCAACCATAAACTTTTTTATCGAAGTTAATTAATTTTCCTTTTTTTATAAAAAACGTTTCTTGGCTTATTTCAGATGCCCCTGAGGATGAATTATTGATCGAAAGTACTTGGGCAAGATTTAATTAATTACTGTGTTCGATATTTGCCTTGCATACCATCAAAGTTCATTACGTTTTTATTCATTAGAATATCTCGGACATATTACACGTGGAGAGAAACACACCTTGCTCCAACTGATTATGCAGGGAAAGATCCAAGGCAAGAGAAGCATAGGGAGGCTAGAATGTCATGGCTGCGTAACCTGAGAGAGTGGTACGGATGTACATCAATTGAACTCTTTAGAGCAGCCGTCTCAAAAGTCCGAATAGCTACGATGATTGCTGACCTCCGCCGCGGAGATGGCACTTGAAGAAGAAGAATTCATATGTTGGATCACGGTGTTGTTTGTATCATGATGGATATAGGAAATTCTGAACATGCGGCGGTAGCACCACATTTCGAAGGCTTCTAATCGTTTGGATGTTGCCTCCGTGAAGGTCCAGGCTTCGACTCCATATAAAAGGGTAGAAAATACATAGCATCTCAAGACTCGTGTTCTTATGTCAATGTTCAGGTGCATATTACATAAAATCTTCCTAAGGCGATTGAAGACAACTCTCGCCTTTTCTATCTATCTAATTAGCCTTCTTCGGTCAATCTTTGGACATAGGCCTCCCCAATCCTTTTCCATTCTTCTCTGTCTGTCGCTACAGTCATCCATCTAGAGCCCACGTGCTTCTTGATATCATCTGCCCATCTCATTTGGGGCCTTCCTCTGCTTCGTTTATACTCCCACGGTCTCCAACTTATAAGAATTTTGTTCCATCGGTCTTCTTTTTGTCTTATATTGTGTCCGGCAAATCTCCATTTCAATTTTGCAACTTCTTGTGTAACATCCCTCACTTTTGTTTTCTCTCTTATCCACTCGTTTCTCTTCTTATCCATTAGTTTTATGTGCAACATTTGTCTTTCCATTGCTCTTTGGGTTTTTAGGATTTTGTCCATGTTTTCGCCTTTTGTATACGACATCTTATTTCCTGTGAGTGGTCCCATTCCTTATTTAGGCTGCCTCCAAGATATGTAATTTTGTCGACTATTTTCAAGGGTTCATTATTAGCTGTGAATTGGTCGTTTTTACTTGCTATAAGAATGTTTGTCGTTTGAATTGTTCCACTAGAGTTAGTAAAAACTGCATGATTTAATTAATATTTTAAATGACATTAAATTTGTTCCGATGAAAAAAAAATATTGCCCTTCTGATTTGTGCATGTACACCCTGTATATATGTAGCTGTTTATAATTTATAGTTGCTTAAATTTGATACTAATTTGCATTAATAATATATTTTTATTGGTGTTTGTCGGTAGCAAATTACTTGATTTTGGGATTTTTGATATATTTTTTTGCTGATCGACAGACCTGTTAAAAGTATTATTTAAATTATTTAAACTGGTTATTCCGAAGAATAACGTCAACAACCGTAATCTCATGTTTAATGTAATTTTATAAACACTATCTACGATAACAGACTAAAGGAACGTCTCTTAAAAATATAAATATCAGTAAAAATTTCTAATCAACTACTCGTATACTTGTCATTAAAATTGTAAATCATATAAAATGTATTTTAAACTAATACTACTACTACTCATCTGTAACGTTTTTAAATTGAGTTTACAAGGTGGCAGGGAATTTGTTTCATCAGTGTTACAACCTTCCCGAGGAACTCCGAACTGGTTGTCATATGCGGGAAAGACCTACTACAAACAAATTGTTTTCAAGGTGAGCAGAAAAATACTTTCAGTTTGTTTTGGATCCCCTGAATTTTTAATAATATTTTTTTTCCTTGCTTAATCCTAAGTTTTTCTTTGACACTAGCCGATGGACCTCATATCATTAGTCAGCTGTTTCGAGGGAGTATCTATGCATCCATTTTTATGACCACAATGAAGACTACAGTTGTATGGAATTCGACACCATTTAGATCATTTAATTAAATAATAACAACTAATGACTAAATTGTTCATGGAATACAAATTACATTAATTTGGTTCATTTTATTTAAGTTAATTAAATTTAAGTTAGTGTTACTGGTTACTGTTACTAGTCTCTGTACCTAAATATTTTGTAGCCGATCCTCTTCTGGCGAGTTTATCAGCTCTGTCACGTGTCAGTCGGTTCCGGTCTAGGTCAATGACTTAGACACCATACCATTGTAACACTGTTATATTTAGTCGTTAATTCTAGGTATACCATTTTTCAACCTTACTTTTCGTCAATTATTTCTTGTATTAATAGAGGAAGATAATTGTTAAAATAAAATTATCTTTAATTTTTTACCATTTGCTCCCATAACTGCTCATCTGTTTCAATAAGCTGGAATATCAATCCTTTCAGGGTCCACACGCAAAAGTAACAAAAGTTTTTATTTGCTACAAATAGCTGCCCTTTGCGTGATTGCATGATTTATCTTTAAAATATATCTATCATCTTTCACTTCCATATACTTTAGTATCTTCCTATCTATTGCATTTTTAGAACATAATATATCTTTTGCTGAAATTGGACATTTAATTTCGACAATCATATTTTATTACCTATGAGTCCATCAGGTATTGCAGCTAAAAAAGGATATTCCTGATGAACAATTGAATACACTGCTTATTATTCTTACGAAGTTCCGATAGAACTTTTTCTTAAATTTTCTCTAATTCGTTATGATCAATTTCTAACGTTTTTTGTGCTTGTGGTTCATCTGGAGCATGGTTTTTTGTTATATATTTTTTTAATTTTTGCAAATTTTTGTAATATAATTTTCTTCGAAATGTATTTTTGGTACATACTGAAATAATTTTTTTTTGTATATACGCCAGGATTTCTTCCTTTGATGCTTTTGTGAAGTGCTTGGTGATATTGACCTTTAGAGTTGTACGACAAAGCAGCAGCGTGGCATCGCATTTCATAGAACCCTCGAGAGCTATAATTTATTGTTATGCCTCCTAGAAACTTTGCTATTACATTATTATATTGTTTAGCATAATTGTTACTCATATTTTTTATAAGACTATTTGCATGGAATTTTAATCTTGCTGAACATAAGCTAATATCTTTCAAGAGGCTGCATTCTTTCATTGGTATTGTATAATCTGTTTGTGATGATTTTCTGTCACAAAAATAATCTGCGCAATTCGAATGATTTCCAAATACATGAAGATGGCTAATAGATATATCGTTTTTCAAAATCTTTATTCTTAAGTCACTTGGTTTATCTGACTAGTGACTATCGATGGTATTCAGTTGCTTTTGTAACAACAGTTCTTAATCTTAATATATTATTTTTGAAAAGCTTTCGTAAGAAAATTGGTACGAGTTTTCCATTGGAACTATATCGTTTTGTTGATAACTCTTTTAATCTTGTACAATAGTTTCTTAGGAGGTGGTTACGACATTCAATTTTTTCAACAACATTATTACCATATGGTCAATTTTCTAAAAAAATTTGATAAACACTACTATGTCCATCGGCTATTAAAATTTTGTAAGTAATTCCATGCATATATTTAATACATTTAAATACATCTAGAATTATTTGACTTTCCATTGTAGTCGAAGCTTTTGTCCAATTTTTATAACCTACGTGTTCTTTATCTTCTCCGTATAATTTACAGTACTCTAACATACAGAATCTTTTAGGTTCTGTAACCAATAATGGCTGCAGCTCCAGAATTGGCATTATAATTTGTTTTATATGATCTCTTTGACCAACAGCAGTCCGCAACAACAGTTATAAAAGGATAGCCATCTTTATTAATATTTCCATGCTCTTTTGCTAATTTGATTTCTTCTTGTCCAGCCTTAAGCATTAATGTCCAAGAACTTTCATGGTATAAGTCAATTAGATCATTTTGAATTGATAAATAATATTTTTTTGATAGTAATGCGATATTTAGACTGAACGGTAATTCAATTAGTTGTGTGTATCCTCCACCAATACTAACTATTCAAGTTATTGCTGCAGAATTGACGTTGAGGGATGGTTGTTTATATTTTTCAGTTTCTACTTCATGTTTCATGCTTCAGTGAATTTAGAATAAAATCCTTTTCGCTTTTCACTAGTCACCGTAATATCTTCTGAAAAGCAAATTGAACAATCTGTGGTGAGGGAATTGCAGTATTTGCCTAATAAAATATTGCACATCTACAATTCTTCGTCCTTGTAATATGAAATCTGAAGTAGTTTGTCTAAAAGACATATAAATTATTTATTTATGTTTAAAAGTTTACTGCACTTTTAATACATTTTATATTTGGTAAAAAAAACTTTCGTAGTAACTGAATATTCCTTTATTATGTTCTCCTCCTTGCAAGGAAAAATCCAAGAACGCAGAAATCCAGGCCGTAGAAGAATGTCCTGGATGAGAAATTTAAGAGAGTGGTTTGGCTGTACCACTAACTAATTATTCAAAACAGCAGTAAATAACATAAGAATCGCCCTAATGATATCTAATCTCCAATAGGAGAGGCATTCAAAGAAGAAGAAGATGTTCTCCTTGGCAAGTTCTTCGAAATTACGGGATTGACTTTTGTAGAAAAATCGTATTAATTTCATGTTCAAAAAAAATTAAAAGTATGGCTTACTTAATAAATATCTCTGCTACTTTTTCAGCCGCCACTCAAGAATACAGTGCTGGTCTATAATAGTCCAAATTAAATAATTTAAAAAAATTTATAATGTATTACTTAATCAGTACCTACAGTTTCCTTATAGTGTATTAACATGTAAACCTTCTACTACAATACTACAAACATACCAGCCTTTTTAAATTATTCGGAAGCCATATATAGGTCCAATGTACTCTTCGTCGTTGGTTAAACACTACCTAAACAATATTGCAGGTTTTCTCGATATGCTTCATAGTTTATTCTACCAAAGTTACAAGTTTTTTTTTTAATATATTGTAGAAATTGGATAAATGAAGTGAAATCAGGCAATACACGTAGTTTGATGATAATAGAAGTAGATGTAGCGCTGCGGTGCACGGGTTGGGTCTGTCAGGCCCATTCAGTTCTTCTAATATCTCTATTCGGTTAGCGAGTCTAAGTACGGTCCTGGCGTTCTAGGTACCTTTTGTTGGCATAGCCTATAATAACTCAGTTATGAATGCGCATTGAAGCAATAGTGTCGATGATATATCTGTTTTCGTTCTCTCGGACCCAACCCGTTCCTTAATATAAGTTTTTTTTTATGAAAGTACAAAACAAAATTTGCAGTGTATTGTTTTTAGAGTTTAGCAAAACAATGTATTCTTACGAGAGAGAGGCAAAACATTTGCAACGTCTCTACGAGGAAGTTGCAACCGACGAGGAAGAAAATTATGAAGATTCAGATTCCGATGAGTCTATAGTTGACAACTTAGAACATGAAGATGCTAATCATAACTCAGAACCTGAATTGAATTTATCAGACACCGAATTAAACTTACAAAAATGTATTCCACCAGGTTAGTCAAACCAATACCATGATTACAATACCAAAGATGGAATGAAATTGAATAAGATATGCGGATCACGAAATGTTAGAACTAGACGAGAAATTATCATAACAAAACTTCCTGGAGTTATTCGTGAAGCGAAAAGTTGCAAAACTGAAAAAGAATGCTGGGAACTGTTTTTTAATGAAAAAAATTTTAAAACATATTGTTGAATGTACTAATGCATATATCGAGCGTGTGTCCGTGAGATATAAAGACAGTTCCGATGCGAGGCCAACAAATATATGTGAACTAAAAGCTCTGATTGGTCTGCTTTACTTAGCTGGAGTTTACCGTGGAGGTAGAACTTCAATTCTTGAGTTTTGGGAAAGAAATAGTACGGGCATTGACATATTTCCGGCTCTCCGCAGATTTCGATTTCTTATGAAGTGCTTACGCCTAGATGATATTCATACAAGGGACAAACGGACACAAGTAGACAAACTTGCAGCAGTTAGAGTCATATTCGAGGATGTAGTTGAAAATTTTCAAAAATATTATACCATTGGCCAATATGTCTCTATCGATGAGATGCTTTTAGGCTTTAGAGGTCGCTATAGTTTTAGAATGTACCTTCCAAAAAAACCGGCCCGATACGGTCTAAAAGTATTTTCCTTGGTGGATTCTCGCACGTTCTATACTTAACAATTAGAAATATATGCCGGTACACAACCAACAGGTTCATATTCTATCAGTTCTGCAGTCAACGATGTGGTTGAGCGGGTTTGCAAACCAATCTCCAGATCCAACTGGAATGTCACAATGGACAATTGGTTTATATCAATTGAACTCGCACAAAACTTACTGACAAATCATAGTCTAACAATTGTAGGAACCCTACGGAAAAACAAAAGGCATATCCCAACCGAATTTTTAATGAACAATATACCGCCAAAATCAATTATCGTTGAAATTACCAAAGATATGGAAATATTGTCCTATATACCAAAACCAAAAAAACATGTTCTTTTGTCAACCCTACACCATGATGACCAAATCGATCCGACAACGGGTGACGAAAGTAAACCTGAATCAATAATGTTCTATAATTCTACGAAAGGTGGTATGGACCCGTTGATCAACTTCGAGGTTCCTATACTGTCGCAAAAAATACAAAACGCTGGCCCATGGTCATCTTTTATGCATTGCTTGATGTTGTTGCAATAAATGCATTTGTGATATAGAGAAGTAACACACCGGATCTAAAAACTATCGTAACACACCGGATCTAGTGATGGACAATACAAAAGCAAGAGCTCAATCTTCTTATTTGGCACGAGATATAAGAGAGCTTGCTGCTAAACTCAGTGGTGTTGGACCAGTAGAAGCACCTGCGGAACTGCAAAATAAAAGGGGCGTTGTGCTTTTTGTAGAGATCGTAAAACTCGCTACATGTGTCACTACTGTAAAAAATTTATTTACTTAGAACATAATGTATTAATACCTGTTTGTCGCATATGCATTGATAAAATAACTGAATAAGTTATATACAAGGTGTTCTTTAAACATCTGCCATATTGTAGTATGTAATTTCTTTTATATTTTTAGTTTTAATATTATAATAGCAGTTCATTTTTTAATGTACATGTAAGTTGTCTTTAGTAGTAGTTCTAATATATGCAACGTAAACCTGTTTTATTTAAATTAAACATAAAAAATTCTTAGTTTAATGTTTGGCCTTCTCAGATCCAACCCGTTCCTTCGTGTATCAAATTATCACCCGTGCACCGAAGGGTTAAGAGAGTAACAACAAACTAGATTCATACGGCACAGGATCGGCATCAGTAAAAACGACTGAGGGAGGCTTATGTCCAGCAGTGGATACTACAGGCTGCGTTATGATGATAAGGACAACAAGTTTCCTTGAAATGCCAATTACTTGTTATTTTAAAACAGGTTATTATTATATAAATTACCTTCTTGTACATTTAGTATGTCTAAATAATATTCCATAACAAACTGTATTAGTAGTAATGACACTTCTTTCATTGATGTTTGTACTGCCTCAGGTCATGGCACGCATTTACATCACAGCCCATGATCAGTTGCAGTCCATTTATGCTACAATATCCCATTAAATTGCGTTAGGCTTTCACGGCCATCGTCTAACTTATTAAACTGTTTATTCGGGCTGTTGGGCCGTTGTCTTCTGTTGAGATTAGTTCTCGACGTTTCGCCAACACTAGGGGTTGGCATCTTCTGGAGATGTTGATGCTTCGCTTGTAAGCAGAAACTGACGACGCGTTGTACTACGGAGGCAATATTTATAATTCCCACTCGCCTCCCCTCCACTGGTTTCGGCTTGAGGGGGTGTGTCGTTGTTTATAGTAGCTTTTCTATCTCCGTGTTTGGCGGGAAGGGCGTTTGTGGATTTTAATACTGGTATCCATGTTTTGTTGATTTTTAGTCCTTCTTCTATCCTATTGAAATTGTTTGGGTGCTTGTATATTTCCACCGCTTCCCGATATAACCGTGGGTAGTACTGTGAAGTTTTGTCCAGCATCTGTGTTTCTTCAAATAGTATTCGATGTTCTCCGCTTCCCAAAGCGTGTTTAGAAAGAAAGCCAACATAAAGACCATCTTCAGACCTACAAAGAAGATCAAGGATTGTTTAAGATCGGTAAAAGACAAACGCGACCCATTAGCAACGGCCGGAGTATACCGAATACCATGCACATGTGGAATGGTATATGTGGGAACCACAAAAAGACACACCAACACCAGGATAAATGAACATAAAAGCCATTGTCGTTTAGGACATATCGACAAATCTGCCGTTGCCGAACACGCTTTGGGAAGCGGAGAACATCGAATACTATTTGAAGAAACACAGATGCTGGACAAAACTTCACAGTACTACCCACGGTTATATCGGGAAGCGGTGGAAATATACAAGCACCCAAACAATTTCAATAGGATAGAAGAAGGACTAAAAATCAACAAAACATGGATACCAGTATTAAAATCCACAAACGCCCTTCCCGCCAAACACGGAGATAGAAAAGCTACTATAAACAACGACACACCCCCTCAAGCCGAAACCAGTGGAGGGGAGGCGAGTGGGAATTATAAATATTGCCTCCGTAGTACAACGCGTCGTCAGTTTCTGCTTACAAGCGAAGCATCAACATCTCCAGAAGATGCCAACCCCTAGTGTTGGCGAAACGTCGAGAACTAATCTCAACAGAAGACAACGGCCCAACAGCCCGAATAAACAGTTTAATAAATATCCCATTAGTTCTTACCTCTCCATTGGTGGTGGTTGGTAGGGATCATTATATATGGAGACTGTGCTAATTCCAAAGAATTCATAGTTCCTCCAACTGGTATCTTTATATTTACAGTCGTTAAATCACTGGAATAACCGTCTAACAGTCTTTTGACTATTAAACGAGTACATACAAAGTCGTCCACGGGACTTTAGCAGATTAGTTATACGAGTATATGCTCTCTACCATTGTCCGATAGACCTTTTATTTGACTAGGTATATAATGGTGTTCTTGTATCAAAGATGCATCAAACTTTCTCAAATTCTGCCGTAGCTCCATTATTATGGTTCGTTTGCAGGTCGCCTTCCCTTGATATAGCGTTCATTATTTCTGACAAGTTTTCACTTGATCAAATGCATTTTTGTCTTAAAGATTTTGTTGTTAGAGACTTTATCTTCAATGTAATAATACAAGCAGATCATTATAAAAATAGCTTAACAGATTATATTAGTATGTTATTTTATTTTTTATTTACAGTCTTCTAACAGATATTTTTTATATATTTACAGTCTAGTAACACTAAAAACATAATTAATTTATAAGTAACATTTTATTTACTTCAGGATACAAATATATTTATTAGACTAAGTGAATATACAATTTTATTGAAAAAATTCTTTACAATTTAATTTCACTTACTTATATATGTTTGTCCCGTTATTCTGGAATTGTATCGAAGTATCTCAGCAGACCGTCGACCCGTTACTTTCACATAACAAACACCAGCTGTATCTTTCTCATAAAGTATAATTGGAACAGTCTGGAATTATCTAGACTAGACAGGTAGTTTCTTTGAATGTTCGGTGACGTCAAAATATCACCTTTAGAATGGGGATCAGTAGAGTAGTGAGAATGTAGTATAACAATAAAAATGCTTTTATTTCTTATGTTTCAGGGAAACTATTTTAAAGCTACACAATTTTGTCGACAACAAGGCATGCAATTGTTAAGTATTAACAGCCATATAGAAAACGAACGAATTGGAAAATTTATACTTGATACAGGTAAGGCATTAGTTTTAATTAGCTCTAGTTTATTAAAAACTTTTTAAGAATAATAAAATATATTTTATAATTTTAACTCTCATCATCATCATCATCCAGCCGAATTTTCACATCCATTGTTGGATATAGGCCTCCTCCAAACGTCTCCAGTTCTCTCTATCTCTAGCTGCTGCAATCCAGTTTGTTTCTATTCTCTTTAGGTCGTCGGTCCATCGGGTGGGTGGTCTGCCTCGACTTCGCTTGTCGGCTCTTGGTCTCCACTCCAATAATCTCTTCGTCTATCTTCCGTCTTCCATTCTAGCAACATGTCCAGCCCACCTCCACTTTTGTTTATTGATTCGCAGTATAATATCGTCTACGCCAGTTCGTCGGCGTATCTCCTCATTTCTTACGCGATCTTTCAAGGTCAGGCCCAGCATTGATCTCTCCATTCGCTTTTGTGTTACCCTCAGTTTTTCGGCAGTAGCTTTCGTTAAAGTTAAGGTCTCTGCTCCGTAGGTCAAGACTGGTAAGATGCATTGGTTAAATGCCTTCCTTTTCAGGTGAATTGGGATATTTGTTTTAAAAATGTCTCTCATCCGTTCATATGCCGCCCATCCCAACGTGATTCGTCTATTTAGCTCGCAGGTTTAGTTGTCTCTGGTTATTCTAATTTCATGACCCAAGTATGTGTATTTATCGATTAATTCTACCTTGTTGTTATTGATGTGTATCTCTTCGCTGGGAACCATATTGGTCATCATTTTGGTTTTCTCAAAATTTATCTCCAGCCCAGTTTCTTGTAGTATGTCATTCAGTTCTTGGAGCATGTCTTTGATCTCTCCCAGATTATCTGACAGAAGCACGATATCGTCCGCAAAACGTAGATGGTTTAATCTTTCTCCATCGATGGATATTCCTTTCTGTTGCCATGTTAGTCTTTTAAATGCATACTCAAGAACGGTAATGAACAGCTTTGGTGACATGGTATCACCTTGCCTGACTCCCCTTTTTATCTTTATTTTATTAGTTGCAGAATATAGACTTATGGTTGTTGTGGCATTTTCATATATATTTTTAATTATATTACAATATCTGTGGTCGATCCTGCAATCTTGTAGTGCTCTTAAGATGGACGGTAGTTCCACTGTATCAAACGCCTTTTTAAAGTCTACAAATATCAATGCCAAGGGACGGTTATATTCGTTAGTTTTTTCTATTAGGGTTTTTAGGCACTGCAGGTGATCGTTTGTGCCATAATTAGGGCGGAAACCAGCTTGTTCCCGAGGTTGGTAAAAATCCAGCTTTGTCTCTAATTTATTCGTTATTATTCGGGTGTATAATTCATAAAGATGGTTAAGGAGACTGATTGGTCTGTATCTTTCCAGGTCTGATATATCTCCCTTCTTGTGTAAGAGTACAGTTATTGAATTATTCCACTTTGTTGGGATATTTTGATTCCATAGGCATAGATTAAAGAGCTTTTGAATTTTGGCTATCAGTACTGAGCCTCCTAACTTTATCGCTTCCGTAACGACACCGTCCTCCCCCGGAGCTTTGTTATTCTTCATTAACTCTCATGTATGATCTATATTACTTTTCAACGAACATGTCGAATTATAAAAGAAAAAAAATATAATATCATTTAGATAGAGATAATCATTCACAATCCAACAGCGCTAAGCAGGTTTAACATTAAATTTTTATTCCCGTAAATTTTTATAGACTTAAGTTAAACAAAAAAAAAACAAATTAATTCTACAAAAAATCCTTTTTACATAAAATATCTAATAAATACCTTGTAAATGTAGTTTATCCTACGATATATATATATATATATATATATATATATATATATATATATATAATATATATATATATATATATATATATATATATATATATATACTTAAAATACACAAGAAGATCATAACTGAAATGTGCTGTAGGTATAGTACTAAAAAAACAAATGCGCATTAAATCTGAGATATTTTTTTTAATTAATACCAATCGCAATCCATATATAAATCTTCCTTATCCTCTGAATCATCTTCTATATTATTTATCACCGGTTCAATATCTTCCTGCAAATTGTCCACCGCAAACATTTTTTCTTCTGCTTCCTTGACGTGTTTCACATAATTATGACACAGCTCTTTAGATACTCATTGGTAAGCTTCTTTTATCAGCTATTCTACCGTTTTTTTTTAATCTCAATGTTGTTTAAAGCCACACACCTTTTCACTTGACTCCACACCACCTCAATCGGGTTCAGCTTGCAATGGTAAAGCGGCAGTCTCAAAATCTTAACGTCCTATTTTTCCGCAAATGTTTCAATTTTGTACTTGTCGTATTCGTCTCTAAATGCGGCCGTAGTATCCAGTAATTCACTTTTTAGGTAATCTTCCTTAAAGAAAATGTTCTTTTCGATTAGCTAATCCTTGATTTGCTTTTTGTTCGACATTTTTTTTTGGAAATCAAATTTGCGGCAGTAGTATGACGCGTTATCCAAAACGACAACGTTTTCTTTGTCTTTCAGCAAGTTTGGAATTAAAATCTTCTCAAACCATTCTTCATATAGAGTTCCGTCCATTTGGTCGTGGTAATCAGCGGTTCGCTTGTTGTTCTTCTTGTCTTCGATCAACAAACCGAGGTCCCCGTTGACCGTTTTTATTTGTCTGAGGTACTTATATTTCCAGGATATATCTTTTCTTTCCATCATTATCGAACCATACCCAAAACTCATGTCAGTTAGTAGCCTACGAAATGTGGTTTTTGAGAAAGCTGGTAGCTGGTAGGTCATCATCATCTTTCACTCTGTTCATTATGCTGTCGGCAGGTGGTGGTATATTTGTTAAAAAAAAGCATGGACAATTTTGCTTATTCTGGAATACACTCCCTCATCGTAAGTAATCTCACGTGAATTGGATTGAAAACTGTTTTTCTTCCTTTTTTGTACCAGTTTCAATTCACCTTGCTGGACCTCTTCGCAGATGTCATAAATTTTGCGAACACTCACACCGCACATTTGCGAAACTTTTTCCACAATAATAGTCAAGCTGTCACCATTTTATAAGTTCACATACCCTGATTGAAATTCGCGACAGATACTGGAAACGGCTCCATGATGTTGGTACTTTCTTCCGCTTGCGAAAATGAAATAGAACTGAGCTTTTATAGTTTTTCGACACATCGACAATCGACAGACGCATGTTTGCTTTGCTTGGACAGTGAGGATTAAAACTGATTCGCTTCTCCTAATGAATTCATAATGATCTTTATTTCCCAAAGAATGTGCTTAAAATGGAAGCTGTTGAAAATTGATAAATATAGGTAAGCTATCAACAATCAGCTTTTGATATTTTTTACTATTTTATAGTAGTTTTTTTGATGTTGTTGTTTAGTTCGATAATGCAACTCTCTTATTTATACCAGATAACTACGAACGCAGTGTTCGTAGTTCTCTGTTTATACATCGTTGATTGAATAATGCTTTAGTTGAAACAATAATGACAGTCTTTTATACAACCGTAGGCAAATGTTGTGTGCGCTTGTATTAGGTTTCCTAAATGTGGTCCTGTTGCCCCGCTCCGGGCAAACCGAGCGGCAGTTTGGCTTTTAAGGTATGCTTTGCCAAAAAGTTCTCCAATATCGCACTAAGAGAGGACGAGATTAGTATGACGTAACCATTGGCTGATTTCTTCGCTAGAGTATGTCTTGAGCGTTCCCATGACAGTTTTGTCTAGCGGTTGCAGTTTGTGTGTTGAATGTGAAGGTAATGAAATTATAACTATGTTATTCTCCCTTGCCAGATTAATCACATCTAAATTGCGAATATGGCTGTAGTGTCCATCAAATATAAGAAGTACAGGAAACTCTTTAGATGGTTAAACGGTATTTATGAAGTGTTTAAACCACTGTGTAAATAAATTAGACTGCACCAACCACTAGGATGAACGGCTGATATCGATCCAGGAGAAGTACTTTTCATGAGTTGTACATTCATATTCTTTCTTGGGAAGATTAACATGGGTGGGATAAAATTCCCTCCAGCACTCATACATGCAATTAAAGTGATCAATGATCCTCTCTTAGCCGAAGTCAGCGATGCGATTTGTCTCTTTCCTTTGCGCCCCACTATTGCTGCAATTTTATTTTGCAATCTTTAATTTGCAGTAATGTACCCATCGTTTTATCTCTCACATGATCTTGAATAGCAGATTTCATGCTATCTGGATCCCAGAACTTTCGTTGTTTTATACTTACAATACTTTTTCTAGGCATTCTGAAAAGAAAAAAACCCTATAGACTAAACTGATACAAATATAAGAGCTTATATTTGTAGCACCACACAACTTTTTTTTACCTTATGAAGGCCGATATGTAATTAAGATATTATGATCAGTGGGCCTCAAACAGTGGGGCGTTAATATTTAATTTCGATCGCTTGAAAATATTTAATTTCCTGTATTTTATGTTCAGTAATAATATTAGATTTTACTGTATCAAAGGCAAATAAAATGAATATAATATGTATATACAGGGCGGTTAAAAGAAGTAGGACGTAATATTTCGAATAATCGAAATTATTTGTCGACATCAAATGTTCATCAAGGTCTTTATCTAAATTGGCACTAAATCACTTCCGAGTTTTTAGCAAAACAAAATGTTTAAACACGTGTATTCCAGTAATTAATACCAAAGATATTGAGAGTAGGCAGTCCAGTAATTAGACCGAAGGTACTTTATCGTTTACCTAAAATACACCACAAAGTCCGAATTGAATTTCCGAAACACTTTTTTGTTTCATCTTTTTAGCAAACGATTTGTCCTATTCACTGTCTGATATTTCACTAGCAGAGTCGTCACTATCTGAATTATCTATCCGAATAATTAGAGGCCGGACCTCATCTATAACTCGCTCGGTTTGAAAAGACTGAACGATTATGTCTTCCGTATGTCTAATACAATTTTGTCATTGTTCTGCCTTTATTTTTTCTAGCGATTCTTTCCATAAACCA